CCTTTCTCCTCATTTCTAAGCTATCAGAATCCAGTTCTCTGAGGGCAAGTTGTCCTTCCTCACAGAGGCTTTCCTGAGGGGAATAGCACCACATCCTCCAAAAGCATTGTTCCCCTTTACTTCCAGCTTCACAAGAACTGCACCAAGCCACAGAATAGCAGTCTCACTTACTAAAAGGCTCTGCTGGCTGAAAGTATGGGTGGACTTCTTTTCCTAGAACTTGTCTGCGTGGCCTCAATGGTTTTTGTTTCAAGCCAAGCATTACTTTTTATTTTTGAAGAAATTGTATTATTTAACATTTCTGGAGGCAGTGCTGTGTGTGTTTGTAAAAGTAACAGCTGCAATATATGTAGAGATTATCATGGCTTCATACCCCAAGATCATCCAATCCTCAGGGCAATTTCATGACTGGCTTTGAAGTCAAACAGGTCACTTGCATTGCATTGGAACCTAGTTTCTTTATCTGTAAAATGGGATAATAATGCTTCCTGGGTTTGGTAAAGATGCAATGAAATTATATATGTAAGTTGGCTAGTCTCCATAGCCTATGGTAAATAGTGGTTTTCTACTGATTTACCAGGAAGCATGAGATTATCATTCCTGGGGATTGATAGTTACAGTTATAGAGCCATCTACTAATTTTTCCCATATTTGAGCAAAATGGGCTCGTTATTTAGAATATATCCTCTTTCAAAAGGGAGCTGTATCAGAAATGTCACTGAGTCTGTTCTTTCAAATCTTCCTTCCAAATTAAATCACCCCAAAATCCTGAAAATTCTGAATAGATCCTCAGAGTTTGGTTGCTGATATTCCGTTGATTGGATGTACCAGTATCACTTTAACCACAATAATTCTGATAAATATTTAAGTTGCTGTCAAGTTTGAAAAACCTTAGTGTTGTGGTTAATACAATAAGCATATTTTTCCTACATTCTAGTTGATTTCCTTGAAAATGATCTCTGGAAATGAGATAGATGGATGAGCTGAAAATGTGTTTTTTATGAATCTTGATAACAAATTACCATATTATGATGCATTGTATGAATATAGCTTCATCAAATGTAGTCTAAGAATGGGTCCTTTCTCTTGCAGAAAGTCCTCATTTCAAAAATATTTACTAAAAGATAACACTGTATTGAATATAATAATTATTTGTTGGAAGACACAATAACGAAAAAAGTACCAAAACTCCAAAATATCCTTGGAAATTGGCAGACAAAGAAGAATTGCTATATTAGGTATAAGACTCTTAGATTGGAGTGAAGAAATATATTAAACTAGGCTGGCTCACAGGAACCAGGCCAGGTAGTAGCTAACATTTATTTAGGGCTTCCTCTAATAGCCAAGTCTATGATGAACTTTTTATATGGATTTTTTAATTAAATTCTCCTTCAAGCCACCATTTTAGAGTTGAGAAAACTTACTGGCATCTGGAAGAGAGATTCTGGAAGCAAATTTTTCAAGGGGAAGGAACAGTTCCTAAGAACCCAATTTTCCTGTTTTGTATCTAGGTTACAATTTCAGTATATTCTCTGAAAGCATTGTAAGAAGTTGAAATCTTCTTCCCTGACCTTGAGGTTAAGTAAGAAAACAGCAAGGAAGAAGAAAGGCAGTTGAACTGATGCCTTCCAGAAGCCTTTAGAGGTGTTGATGCCACCATGATGTTCTGTGAGCCTGGGGCCAGCCACCTCTGAAGGCTTTCAGGATGGAAAGAACCAATGTTTGGCCAACATTGCCAGGTGCCATGGCAGGAGTGAATGCCAACATAAGGCCTTTCATAAAGCATTCTTTCTTCTCTAAAAGACAAAGATATTACCTGTTCATGTCCAGATCAGACTTCCAGGCTCACCTTTTCTTGGCTGAACAAACATATTTGTCATGGTCAGTGTATGAGAAATGCCCCTTGGGTGCTGCAGTCCCCTTTTGTCCCTTTTCCCATCCCTTAGGCCATCAAAAGACACAAGATGCTGACTTTCGTAGGATTTACCTCTGAGACACTGGTGTCAGAAAAGCAGCTGGGAGTCTTAAATGTACCTTGATACCAACCGATACAGTATCTCAGAGGTCTTATCATTGATTTTCCTTCTGAGTTCACAGGAAGCACTAGGCTGCTTAGTTTGCCTTAGTGCTAGAATAGTCTGTAGAGAGAAAAGAGAAGGGAAATAAGAGGAAATGTGTGGTGTTGACAATTTTCAGAAGCACCGCCATGAGGCACAATGACTGGAACTAACGTGCAGGCCATATCACAAAATGGGACCTTGATCCTATCCCATGAAAATGCTACATGGTGAAGTCCTCCATGCTCCCAGGGCCTTGGCTCCTTCCTGCGCTGCACATAGCTCTTCTGGATTCTGCTCCTTCCTCTGCTCTCAATGCCTCCCCTCATAGATATGCTCCAGTCTTTTTGTCCTGTTTTAGTTCTAGAATTATGTATCTCTCCTGCCTAAAAGGTTCTATACCTGATGATTTCTCTGCCTTTAGGAACTTTCTACTCTTTCCTTCCTGGATGGGCTACTTTGCACGCCATCTCCTACAGGAAGCACTCTATGGCCATCCAAAACCAGGTCATGTTCCTCTCTTATGGGTCTATACAAATTGCCTTTGTTCTCCATCTTTATTAAAATGCTTCTCCCACTGATTGACATTCCCTCTCACTTACCTGTTTCCTCTCTAGGGTGCAAGCTGGTTGGAGAGCAGAGGTGGTTCTTCTTATCTAATTATTAGACCAGTGCTTGCCTCAGAGAAGGTCCTTCATAAGTGTGTGTGGCTGTGGAAGACCTATCTTTGGCTCTTCCTTAGATGACGTGCACTGACACTGAACAGAGACTGGTAACCCTTATGCTGCGTGTTCCACTGTATGCAGGCTTCTGAATACCTGTTCCCTCTACACAGCTCCCTCCCTCTCCCACCACTCATTTTACGTGCACACACATGCATACACCCATACAGACAGTTTTTCAGCTACATTATTGAACGTGAATCTTGCCTGTAACACTATTTATGCTTTGAAGCATTTACACAGCCATGCTACATTTATCCAGAAAAAAATGCCTACTAACTCCACTAACTCTTCACACAAACTTGGAAAGCAGTTGGCACAAGCTTAAAGGTAACTCAAAGTGTTCCATCCTCCTTCCATTCTAAATAGCTGAGTGTGGCTTCATAAACCAACAACAACAACAAAAAATTCTTCTCAGAACCCCCTGGTTGATTGGGGGATAGAAAAAAGCATGCATACTTATTGTGGTGGTTGTTTCCAAAAGTCAGCTAAGACCTGAATAGATAAGCACAAAATGTGTCATAGAAGTAGTTAATTATTCTTGGGGTAGCCATGACTGTCCCCAGAGCCTTGCAAGTCATCAGTGCAAAATACAACATACTTTCACAGAATTAAAATGCTTACTGGACAAATGGCTCAAGTTCAAAGAGTGTCTTTGTTTAGAGGCACCTAGTGACATTTTCTCAGTACCTGGCTAGAGAGTGGGAGCCACTATTTACCATCTGCCTCCTGCCCTCTTAACCCATAGCTTGTTACATTAAGGTAGGAAAGTTTTATGTGTATAATTTGTGAAGTTCTCTTGAGCAGACAGTGCTATATAAATGTGAAATGCTGTTATTAATAATAAAGGTTGGCTAACCTAAGAATACTGTAGAATTAAAGTAATGAGATTCTATTTTTAGGCAGACTTGCCGATAACATGCAAGTATGATAAGGCTGTGATTTAAAGCTCTCTTTAGCCTTCTGTAGCTAGAAAGAGTACATTTTCTGGGCCGCCTAGACACAGTAGTCAGCTTCACAGAGCTCTATTAAGGCTAATGGTAGCTCCACATTTGAATCCCAGCATGCCCAGCTAAAAATAGGCCTTGGTCTTTCCGACATGAGAGCGTGTCTCATAGACAACTAGCTTTCACAAAATATAGATCGGCCTTTTTAGGCCCCTAGAGAAATCTGATCACTCTTTTTGGAATGATAAAAGAATAACTCTAGAATGTGTTTTGAAATTTTTACATACCTGTAATTATATGAAGATATAGGATGTGTTTGGGGAGCTTAGTTATGTTTGTTTTTAGATCAGAAAAGGTATTTCACAAAGGCCCAGGTTCAAAGTGATTCATAACTAGGAAAGAAGTCCCACCCCTCAGGAAATAAAATAATTAGCTCTTCCTCCACTAATGTTCAGGTCAATGCTTTGTCAATAACACTAACTCTTCTTCACCAGTTTAGTGCAGCCTATAAAGATCATTATGACTCATAATTACAGATGCAGATTTATGTCAAAATGCATACATAAATCTCCAGTTCTGGAGATGGGTCACCTCTTATCAGAAAAAAAGATTTGTGTAAGGAGACTCTCTCCTTGATCCTGCTGGGCATTTTTCTCTTTCCATTTTGGGGGTAGAATTATAAGGTTTGCTTTCAGTGACACAAATACGACCCAGGGTGTGTTATGGATTCACAGCAGGAAGCATCAGGGAGCTGGCTGGCTGTGGAGGTGGGTAATGGCAGGAGGGTGATGTAGCCTTGGAAATAGCTTTCTGGGGGTGACTGTTGTCTGGCTAAATGAAGAGCACCTCTAAACACCTGAAGGCCAGACACTGTAAATCAAAGAAAGATGATTGTCTGGATGGAGGGAGATGGGTTTTAAAGTGACTGAGTCTTGTTGAGGCTGAAGTCTACTGCTTGATTCTGGGCACAGGACATAGTCTTAATTGGTTATCAAATCCTACAGAGGCCTGAATGACCATTTTGCTAATGATTTAAAAAATGCATTTCCTGTTAGGAGAGCTGAGCTTTCAAACATCACCTGGTTTTCAGAGAACAACCTCCTTGATGGCAGAGAAGCAGGGTTTCCCAGCACCTGTGGAGGACATGCATTTCCTTTATGTATGCACAGGCATCTTCTAGAAAGCTGTTAGATCTTCTCATTAATAATCTGAATGCTGGATTTGGACTATTATTCTGAGAATGCTCAGAAAGTGCACTTTTTTCCTGCCTGTAGATCTCAACAGTATGTACCCAACTGAAGCAAGTGCTTATGTCCACAAGACCTGTACAAGGATATCCACCATATCTTTATTCATTACAGCCCAATCATGGAGACAACCCAAAGTCCATCAAGAGGTGAACAGGTAAACAAACTGTCACATATCCTTGCATTCAGCAATAAAAAGCAACCAGCTCCCGATACCCACATAACATAGATGAGCCTTAGAAATGTTACTTTAAGTGAAAGAAGCCAGGCACAAAAGAGTGTATAGTGTAGGAATCTATTTATTTGAATTTCAAGGACAGGTAAAACTGATTCATGAAAGCAAATCAGAATGCTAGCTACTTCCATAAGGCAGAGGGTTATTGACTAGAAAGTTACACAAGGGAACTCTAGGTGATGAAAATGTTTTATATTCTAAGCTGGGCAGGGGTTAACATGGTATATATATATGTAAAAAATTCATTGAGCTGTACACTTAAGATTTGTACAATTTACTGTTTGTACATTACAGCTCAATTAATAAAAGTTTAAAAAGCTATGAGGAAAAATACAGGAAGAAAAGCTCATTTTATAAGAGCAATCATGAACAAAGACAGAATCACATAGTCTGAAGAGTAAATGAAAATGGATAAATGAAAAAATGTGAATCTTTCACCTCTTCTCAATTTTATCATAGGATATGAAAATGCAGGGCTCAGAAAACTAAAATTATGTTATATGCTCAGTAATTCATTGAGAGTTCTTCAAAGGTTTATTTCAGAATGTTCCTCTTAAATTAGGAAATGTTTCACTGACAAGTTTCTTCTTAGGAAATGGTGTTGTTTAAACATAAACAGCCAGAAAATAGATATTTTCAATCAATTTATCACAGGTCTGAATAAGAGATCAATTAGTTAATGCTACTGTTAGCCCTAATCCTACTTCAAGAAAATGTAGTTCATCCTCCTAAATATTTAGATTAATTGGGGTAGGAAGCTCTGGTGTTTTATGACAAAAACATTGATAAGAAGTAAACATTTTCCATTTTTCCATAATGTATTCCTCTTTGCAATTGTCTTATGCTAAATACTTTCTAGTTGTTGAAAGAAGTCTTCATCAGGTACTTGCCTTCCCATGTCACCATAGAAATAAAGAAGCTTCCTTTTCAAGAACTATCATGACAGAATTTCCAAATGGCATCTGGTTCTCATTATTCAGGTGACATTTCCATTTCCAAAATTCTAAAGCTAGCCTGAAACTGTTAATGACACTTCTAAAATGCTTATTGAATTTTTAAGTGGACCCTAGAGATCACGGAAACCACCCTCTTCACTGAAGATGAGGAACCTGAGATGAAGGAAGGTTAAGCAGCTAGCCTGGGCTTGCTTCCTCCGGCTGCCATCTTGTGTAAAATTTGGGTGCTTTCCTTGAACTGCATGAGAATGGTAGATTCCATAAAATATATTCCATAAAAATATACAATAGCACTTGTAAAACTTAGGGTGAACATTACAAATACATTGGAAAATTGTTTCAAAAGCTTTAGAGAAAGAACCCTAAGTATTTGAGCTTTACTACAGCAGAAACCTTTATTCCCCTTTACAGTTCTATGACACTCCAGCACCCATTTCACAAAAGATCCTTCTCAAGTAGAGCTCAGGATGCATAACTATTTGGAAAACTGCCACTTACTCTGCAACTTTAACCTTTTCAAGGCCTTGGTCCAATTTTGTGGTTTATTTCAACAACAAATATCCTTTCTAGTTTATGTGAGTTCACTGCTTGCCTTAGGCATCTTAATTTTAATTTTTGTGTAATTTGTAGGTAGTGGCCAAGATATGCTAGATGCCAGAAAGCACAGAGGCAAGGAAGAGATAGTTCTTGCACCTTCTGGTTAACTTTTCGGGCCATGAGTCCCAATTCTTTATCCATTTTACTTATTCAAGATGCCAATATTTGGCTGCAATTGTTAGAATGAAGCGGTGTACCTCTACATAGCTATGTAGCTGTAATACACAGGGTTTTCTTATTTTTAACTAATAGCTAAAAATTGTATATATTTGTGGTGTACAACTTGATTTTTAAAAATATCATGGGATGGCTAAGTCAAGATAATGTAAATAGGAAATATTTATTTTTTGTGGTGAAAATATTTAAGATCTCCTCTTAGCAATTTCAAGTACATAATACATTATTATTAACATCTTGAACTTATTCCTTTATCTAGCCGAAATTTTGTGTCCCCTGACCAAATATTTGCCCAATCTTTTCTGTCTAGCAGGCTCTAGTAACCACCATTTAACTTTCTAGTTTTATGAATTTGAATTTTTAGAGTGAGGTTATGTAGTATTTATTTTTCCATACCTGGCTTATTTCAATTAACATAATGTCCTCAAATTTCTATGTTGTCACAAGAGATGGAATTCCCTTTTTATTAAGGCAGAATAGCATGCAATTGTGCATAATTTCCATCGATGGACACCTAGTTGATTTCATATCTTGGCTATTGTGAATAGCACTGCAGTAAACGGAGTGCAAATGTCTCCTTGGTACATCAGTTTTGTTTCCATTGAATATATATACCCAGGAGTAAGATTGTTGCACAAGATAGTCATTCTATTTTTCATTTTCTAGTATCATCTTTTAATTTTTCTTCATATCTCCATCCATTCAACAATTTATTATTATTTATTTATTTACATTACGTTTATTGGTACATTTAAAGTAAACATACAGTTACATTCATTCAACAACTATTGAATATGAATCCTGTACATAGCAAGAAAATACCAATGCCCCTGCTATCATGGAGCTTAATTCTAAGGTCTTCTTTTTCTTTGAGCTTCTTGGACCTTGGTCCTTTGCTGCTGTACCTGAGTTCCCATCATAATGTTTTTGACAGCAACAGCAACAGCAACAGCAAACAGCTTTCTGCATGCATGTGGACAGTGTGGATTTTAGTTTCTAGCATTATGTGTTTTCCTTATTTTCATCATACATCCATCTCCCTCTCTCTCTCTCTCTCTCTCTCTCTTTTTAAGAGTCTGGTATAATTTTTCTCTTTAAAGCCTCTGCAGTGGAGGCACTTTCTTAAGAAAGTGTATAACAGGAGCATTTTTAAACAAAGAAAATTATTTTAATTTTCCTTACATATTCAAATGTCTGTGATACTTGGACAATTACTTAATAGATTGGTAGATCCATTACTGTTTTGCAGAAGCAGTGTTATTCTCGATAAATTATCTTTTACTTTTTTCAAGATCAAAAACAGAATTTCCTTGCTGTACCATTGAAACCCATCATCGGTGCCATTATAGTCTGATAGCCATCCACCTACACGTTCAAGTCTGAGAGATGACTCTAAAGCTCACAGCTAGATTTTTGGCTCTCGTCAAGGATGGTTAACCGAAGGTGTGGTTCAGTTTCACACCAAAATCGGTAGGAAACTACACTGTGTTAAGCAAAGCATTAGTCAGTATGCCCTGAAGCGTTAACTGTCCCTTGAGGTAATGATGGTGCAATGCAGTACTGGGACTGTGGTGCAGTGATCAAGATGAAGTGGTCCTGGGGAGCGGGATTTAGCTCAGTGGTTCTGCCGCCTGCCTCACAAGCACGAGGACCCGAGTTCGATCCCCGGTACCAAAAAAAAAAAAGTGGTCCTGAGTTCAATCCACAATATCCAAAAAAAGAGACTTGATTCAAGAAATCAGGAAACACACAAACCCCTTTCTGTTTTAAAGGGCAGTTTGTCAAAGCACAATTTATGACTGTCCGACAGATTCCACCCTACAGAGGCAGTTGGTTGTTCCCATCATGTGTACGTATACAGGGTAGAGAGCTATGTAGGAATGTAATCTGAAGCAAAGAACAGCTGAGAAGTCGTGAATCGCAATTATGAATGGAAGTTAGAAATTGCAGCTAAAATTTAGTTATATACATATCTCTGAATTTTAAATAGATTTTGGAATACACCTCTACTTTCCAAATAGAACTTCCAAAGGATTTCTTTTATTTCTTGGAATTCATAGCAAGACAAGTACCTTTATTGGTTATGGGATTGAGCTAAATGAAAATAGTAAAATAAAATAATTAAAAATAATAAAATAGTAACATTGGAAGCACCTTTTTCATTTGTCAAACATATGCAACATTATTTCATTAACTTTTATTTTAATCTATGAGATTTTAATACCCCTTTAACCACCAAGGAAACTGAGGCACGGGGAAATAATAATCTCTCCCAAGCTCCTATAGTCAGTATTTAGACTGAATCTCAGACTGGGACTCCATAACCTTTAAATGTTTTTTTCTATAATGCCTTTAACCATTTTTTTCTATAATGCCTCTCCGTTTTGGCAAGACAAAGGGAAATTCTATATTATTCCTTTTTATCTTACACTGTTTATTCAAAGGTCAAATTCATACCTCTTCCAGATGGATATTTTGTGGTTCTTTCTAGAAAATGGCTTATGATTCTTTACAAAGATCTCCTTGATATAAGGCATTCATATCTACTTCAAAAACTGCCCCATCTGAGTAGCTTAAAATTATCTGGTGCTTACTTACAACCTTTTTAGTAAATGCCCTTCTGGCTTGGGGAGGCTTTGGTATTTCATATTTAGTAAAAGTGTCTGCTACCTGCCCTTAGAAAATATCTTGGTTTTATGTCTCCCAGACTGCTTGTTGCTAAAGGCAAAATGTGAAATGGAGAGTGTTGGAATTTCACTGCACTATAGAAATTAGGTGCAACTACTACATTAAAAGCAACGGCAGGTGCTGTAAATCTGAACTTTGTTTGGAGGGAGAAAGAGAATAAAAGTAAAACATGTGACAGTAGATGGGCTGCAAATTGCAAAGGTGAAGACAGTTTTCCTAAAGAAACAATTAAACTTTTCTACAAAGAAATCATATTTTATTTTGGGCTGCACTTAAAATGTGATGGTAGAATACAGATTTCTAACTAATGAATCATTTTATCAGTTTCTACAAAGACCTATCATCTATTTCATTTATTCTCTTTTCCAGTTAAAAATATTCTTACTAAAATAATTCATGTTTATTGTATAATATCTAGAAATACAAGAATAACCCCAAATATTGTAGTACAGAAATAACCATCAACGTTTTAGTGTATTTCCTTCTAA